TGTCATTACTACTACATCGCCAGGTAGCTCTGACGTCACGTAAGAACTACTGCTTGTTATCTGGGTTTCCTCGGAAAATCTGAAACCGAGCAAGATCTGAAGCCCTGGATTGTGTCTTTCAGTTCTGAAGAGTTTATTCTGTTTTTCTGATCAATCTGAGTCTCTTTACTTTTCTTTCTGTTCTCCGTCAGACTACAAACACGCTGTATGACCGCCAGTGTTACCTTGAAAACCAGGAAGTTGAACTTGGCGGCGTCGCGGCTGTTGTTGTAGTTGACAGTCGGCGATGCATCGGGCACTAGGATGGTGACCGAGTGGTTTTTCTTCACCAGCTCTTCTATGATGGTCCGCATGTTCAACCAATGGCTGAACTCTCCCGGAAAAACCAGAGCATGGCCTCCGTGTACTGGAGCGACAGAATGAAGGAGCAGGAGGGAGAGGGGAAGAAGAGGATACGTGGGTACCTGCATCGTGTGTGAAACACAAAAAGATCCCCAGTGTGTGAGAAAAATCTAATGTCAGATTGCAGCTGCAGGTCCAGAGTGTAGTCTGCCTAGAGGTCAGCTACGAGTTAAGAGCTGCACTCTGACTGGACGACAACACACTGTGATCTACAACTGTAAAACAAAAAGAGGGACATGCCAAGTCGTGTTTACTCTCACATTCCTTAAAGCAACAGTTATCTTAATCGAAGACCTAAAGGCTTCCTCTGAGCCCATGCCACCTGAAAACACAAAACACGTTTATATTCATAGATCCACTCACATTTTCTCTGATTTCTCTGATGTTTATCAGTCAGTACTCAGTTCGGATAAAAATATTTACAGTAGGTGACTCTAACCAAAGCCTCAGAATTGCATTTCATATCTGACAGTCTGTGAAAATATAAATAACACCACTCAGAGTAACAGTGTTTGCTGAAAACCCTCTTCTGTGTGACCAACTGTCAGTAATATTTAGAATAGTGAGCAACACAGCACCCAGGAAAAACTCCAGTACTGAAGATTATTTTGAAAATCCTTTATTTTTACAGGTTTCTTACTGAGAGCTTTATACCTGTGAGAATGTTCTAGTGGAATAGGAGAGCTTTATGGGAGCTTTATGGGCTTTATGCTTTAATGTGAGACTGTTTCTGTATAAAAATTTTAAATTTAGAGTTTTGATATGTATTCAGCATGAGGTTTATAACTGAAAGGTTCGGATATAAACAGATGGGTAGAAATCCTCAGGTAACCCCATCAACAACATTACTCAGTTTCATCAGAGTTTAGAACACATTTATGATAGATTACAGATTTATTAAAAAGCACATTAGTTTTCCATCAACCAAATAAGGGGAAGAAGCAGTAGTGTAAAAAACACTGCCGCCAGCATAAAAATGTACATTACCTCAGTGTAATACCGATTATGTCAGTAACAAAAGAGATATAAGGATGGAGCCCTGTGGCACATTTTAGTGACTGAAAGAGAGCCAAACATTGGAGACTAAGTCCAACCAAACATGAAACCATTTAATGCAGTGTGTTAATCTGTGTCCAAGCTGCACCACTGTAACTAGATCAGGTTATATGCAGACACCGAGCTTCACCATGCTGCATCACATACTCCACCCAGAAAACAGTGGGGTTCATTTGCGTCACTGTCTTGTCATGCATCGCCCCTCCCTGAGCCCAGTTCTGTTGGAGGTTTCTTTCTCTTAATAGGGAGCTTTTCTGTCACCAAAGTGCTTGCTCATAGGGGATCATATGATTGTTGGGGTTTTCTCTGTTTCCTTTGTATTATAGGGGTTTATATTGTAGTGTCTTTACCTTACAATATAAAGTGCCTTGAGGCAACTGTTGTTGTAATTTGGCGGTATATATAAATAACATATATTTGTATCATTATGTACAGCTACTTTAAATACCATATTCATTCAGTCTTTGAATTCAACTCTAATTGACCTTTCCTTCAAGCTATCAAGGTGTCTACTATAGCCCACTTCTTCAAGACTAATGTGATACAAAGTGTGATGTACTGATGTCCCTGAGTTGCAGTGTTGTGGTACAGAGTGAAGGCCCAGAGGTGAACGAACAGTCCTCTTTTACTGCCAACAGTGGGACAAACTGAGTGAGAGTACACTGCTGGGATGTGGACTGAATATCTGTCAAATATCAGTGCTAACGCTAATGTCAGGGCCGCACACTGATCAGTGTATTTATGCTGGAGAGCTAGTTAACCTAGCACTGTTGCAATTAGCTAAAATGGTCATTCACTCTGGTTTTTGCTGCTGCTCCTCATGAGTGCAAAAGACCAACAGACCATCACGCACCAGCAGGTGGAGACACAGACTTAAGGACTGATCTGTGGCTGCTGTTGTTCATGAGGTGGGCAAATATTAACATTTATGGACTCAGGCTGTTAATTAGAATAAATAGAAAAAACATTGAAGCAACTTCATGATATTGTTTAAGTAAATCTGAATCTCACCTGCACAATAATGTGATGTAGATTTTTAAGCACATTTTTTATGTTTAATATGTTAAATGAGAACAAGTTAGATTTCACTGTAGGATACTTTTACTCCTGTTAAGGTTCAAAAGTTGAGGAAGGGTACAAGAGGTGATCGAAGAATAACCACACTGGTCCGGCCGGGTGAAGTCAAACGAAGATTTTAATTCACACGTGGGAAGATCACTAGAAACAGCAATTGATCTTCCCAAGTAATTATTTTACTGCTATTGTTGAATAATCATCATCATTACCATTGCATTAATAATATAATCTGGAGTTTATATTGCGTTTAGAGGTTGAACAGTGTGTCTTTCAGAAAGGCTAAAAGTAACAGGACAGGAAACAGGCTTGGAGAGAGTTTGTAAAAGCAGAAGGTTATTTTGAGCAGCAGGCTAAGACGAGGCTTTAACAATGTAACAGATAGCTTTAAGAAGGCCTTAAGATGTTATGCATACAGTTATTATGTTAACCTTGTATTTCAGGTGCAGCTATAACTATTTTATACACATTGCATATCTGTGCTTATTTTGAGTTGATGTTTGGTTCATTAAGGGTCTTAAGCTTCACTGGTGTGACTGTCCAGATGATCCATGCTGAGGGAAAACTAGAACATAGAAGGATTGCAATACAGGCTTACAAAACACTTATATCAGGTTATTTTTAATATCTTTTATATGCTTCATATTTTTATATTAAACTTTTAGTAGAGGTTCTTGATTAAAACATTTATTTAACAGATGATATATCCATAGTTTCAGTTCGATTATTACATATACGAGAGTGGTTTCTGTCTCTCTGTCTGGTTAGAGGTCAGGAGCTAGTCGCG